AGGCAGGGATCTCACTCTCGGTTGGCGTTTTAAGCTGCAAGCCAAGATGGCTGGCAGATCTGGCCGTCTTTGCATGCGCATGCCGTACACATCAGATCAGGCTGCGATGCTCTAACCCATGCTCAGCATGGTGAGGCCATCGTGAGACGAACATCGCAGCCGGACATCTCGACGAGCTCATGCCTCACATCCTCATGCATAAATAGTATGAAGGTCATGAGATGGGTGCCGTAGACAAGTCATCATCTGGCTGAATCCTTCAAGCGAAGACTTCGTGCTCTCACATCAACCTCACTTCACCAGGCAGGACCAGAACTAACCTCACCAGACACAAACCGTACCTCTCAAGAAACCCCTAAGGACACATCCCAACATGGCGGCGGCGGCGGCGGCGACTCCCTCCCCAAGAAGATGCTCGAATCCGCCGCGACATCCTTCGCCTCCATCCTCGTCCTGGCCGCCGGCTTCGCCATCGCCGGCTACGCCTACCACAAGACCTACAAGCGCATCGTCCTCAAAAAGATGACGCGCGCCTTCACCCCGGGCGACCCCGTCCTCGAGCTCGCCGCCATCGGCAAGGAGGTGCCCCAGTCCGCCGCCGAGGCCGACGACCGCTGGGTCCAGCGCCCCGAGCAGGCCCGCATCGACAAGATCGTCGACGGCTCCGAGGTCGGCCACTACTTCCTCATCCTCGGCGAGAAGGGCACCGGCAAGAGCAGCATGCTCATCGAGGCCATGCGCAAGATCGACGGCGACGGCGTCGCCATGTTCGAGGCCCACGCCGACCTCGAGATCGTCCGCATCCGCCTCGGCAAGGCCCTCGACTTCGAGTTCCACGAGGACTACATCGGCGGCTACTTCTCCGAGCGCGGGCCCCGCGACACCACCGCCCTCCTCGACATCGAGCGCGCCCTTAACAAGCTCGAAAAGGTCGCCCTCAAGAACCGCGCCACCCGCAAGAAGCCCCTCGTCGTCATCATCAACCAGATGCACCTCATTCGCGACGACGAGGACGGCAAGGACCTAATCGAGCTGCTCCAGCAGCGCGCCGAGCAGTGGGCCGCCTCCAATCTGGTGACGATGGTCTTCAACACCGACGACTACTGGGTCTACGAGCGCCTCAAGCAGCTGGCCACCCGCATGGAGGTCATGTCGGTGCGCGACCTGCCCAAGCAGCAGGCCATCAACGCCCTGTGGAAGTACCGCGTCAAGTACTTTGGCGAGCAGCTCGAGCAGAAGAAGCTCGAGGAGGTGTACGACCTCGTCGGCGGCCGCCTGTCCTTCCTCAACCGCGTTGCCAAGAGCAAGGATATGATTGCTACGTGCAAGTCCATCTGCGCGGTCGAGAAGACGTGGTTCCTGAATCAGTGCTGGATCCTCGGCGCCGAGATGGACGACGATGTCATGGACCAGCAAAAGTGGGCTGTAAGTCTTTTCGTGTCCTTTCCTTTGCGCACCAACTGACAAACACCCACAGTCCGGCGCCATGGTCCTGGCCCAAGCCCTCGTGGACGAGGAGGAAGAGATGGACTCCCTCTACGACCCGGAGCGCGGCCACATCATGCCGTCGTTCCCCATGCACAAGGCGCAGCAGATCATGACCCGCGCCGACTTCATCCGCAACATGGACCGCCTCAACCTCTTCTCCATCGCCGCCGACGCGCAGGTCCGCGCCTCCTCCGTCCCGATGCACCGCGCCTTCAAGGAGATCTGCGCCGAGGAGGGCTTCCGCGACCACCTCGAGAAGACCATCGTCCGCATCGGCGACATCGAGTCCCTCGGCCGCACGCGCGAGCTCGTGGCCAAGGACCTTGTCCTCGGCGGCAAGTACGAGATCAAGCGCGACGGCAAGAACGGCGTCGTGGTCAAGCTCGTCGAGGGCGAGGACCGCGGCATGTACGTTTGAAGCTTTTCTTCCCAAAAGGATTCGGGGGATGGGCACATGCTTGTGGGATCCATTGAGGCTGAGCTCCCTCTTCTCTCCCCTGTCCCCGGGATTTGAGATTGCGGGCTTGGTAGATGAAGACATCACCGTCGTCCAGGGCATGTCCCTGAGATCGGACAGAGATCCGACGATGATCGATTAAGGTGATTTGGGAGCAAGATAGAAAGAGAGAAAGATGAGATGAGATTAGATGAGCCGGGGACGGCAGGGCGTCAAAGCCACCGCACTGACGTGCCAAACCTGCTCATCATCCATCACGATACTTCCAAAAAACTTGTAAGATAGATTTTCAACCCCCAAGACGGGGGCAGCAGGGGCGGTGTTTGGGCGATGATGTTACATTTCCAGCACGCCGCGAGGACACCCCATGTACGATCCCGATCGATAGTCACTGACAAATCAGAGATTTCCTATGTCGCAGCATTGTATGCCACTGTAACCCTCTCATCCTTCCTTCAACGTGCCCTTGACAAATCCCGGGAGCCACGCAGAACATGGTAAAGTACACCAACCACGTCAAACAGAATCTTGGAAGAATTTCAGCGAGAGATGGGCTCAAGACGTGGTTCAGACTGTCTCATGTACCCTCAAACCTTGCCCACTCGCATCCCCCCAATCACGAGCTCCATCTCGCATGCCACACTTCAGATCAAGATGGCGCAGATTCCCGATCCCTGTCCTGCCCGGCCGGCAGAGCGAAAGGGAAGATCCCCTCAAGCGCCCATCACCCGCTCGCTGAAGGCCGTCACCACTAAGGCCGAGACCGCGATAGAACAAGTCTTAGCATCTCGCCAGTGGCAAACGGAAATCAGACAGATCTGAACCCATCCGCCCGCCCAGCCCGCACCATCCCGCGTCTTCCCACCCTGGGGATTGACTGATTCTTCAGCGAGACCGAACTTAGAGCTCTATCCGCACCAAGTGCCAACTAACTCCCGCCCCAGATGAGCTGGTTCTGCGGAGTACACTCCGTCTCCGTGTCCCCTCATCCCGCAACCCCGGGGTCTTACACGAGCAAGTTCTTCATCTGTCCCGCGATCCGCAATGCGATTCGTGCCCACCACTCACTCACTCCCCTTGCTTGAGTTCGCCAACGGCCAAGCAAGATTGGGGGCCACGCCCATCGGCCGCCAACCCTCCATCCAAAAGACACGCATACGCGAAGAGAGAAGCAGAAAAAAGCACGCACTCCATCCCTTGTCCCTACTCCGTCCGTATCCCCCTCCCCAGCTCGCGCAAACCAGTAAAAAGTAAGAGAAACCCAGACAAGAAAACGAACAAGCACCCCGGCTGCAGCAGAGAACCACAGGCCGCGGTGCAGCGCAGGCGATTTTAAATTCGGGGTTCAGGAAGGAAGAAAGGGCCCCGTCCGCCTGCAGAATCTCTCCAACTCCCCCCCTCGCCCCCCCAATCTCAGAGTGGAGCCACATCCACAGAAGCAAATAATAGCTAGACCCTGGACACTGGGACTGGGACTGGGACTGGGACTCTCCAGTCGCTACACTACTGGAGCTGTACGATAGAGGAGTGAGTAGGCAGGTAGGCAGGCTAGGTAGGTAGCAGTAGTAGCTGTATGTACCGCATGGTTTCGCTCCATAGCGGAGTCTGCAGCCTGTACGTCCCCCAAAAAAGAATCGATCGCAATCAATCCCGCAGATGCGAGACGCAGAGTTAAGGAGGAGGGGATCCGTGAGAGACAGAGACAAAGAGACGGAGACAGCGATAGACACAGATTCGGAGATAGCGACTGCGGTAAAGACACAGCGACAGGGACAGGTGATAGAGACTGGGAGACGGAAGAGACAGAGACGGAGACCGAGGGAGACACGCAGAAAGCTCGGTGGAAAGTCGGCTCACAGACGCGCATTAGCACAATGGAGATCTTCGCCCTTCGAGGACCCTTCTGCGTCCGTCGTACGAGAGATGCTCAACTCACGACGGTGTTTTGACATCTCGTTTCCCGTCCGTTGTCTTGACCTTTGCTGGGCCGCCCGCCCTCCTCAACAGACCCGAGATGCCGCAAGGTCCGTATCTGCCCATTCTTGCACAAGCCGCGGGACATGCACGAACGGCCCACCGGCCCGATTGAGTGAGGCTCGTCGTCTTCCAACGTCGCGATACGTGCCGTCCGCCGCCAAGGGTCTGTCTCTTCGCGCGGAGATTCTGCGCCCCCCGGTTCGGTTCCCTCCTCGCGGCAGACGGCCACCTGAGACGTTTGACTGAATGCCCATCAATGAGTCGGTAATCTGCAGATGGACCCCCTCTCAATGATGGGCAAACATGGGCCACGTGCGTGTAATCAAGGCACTGTGATAGGGCAATTGGCGAGTACTTGTGTCGAGGACAGGCGCGCAGTAAAAAAAACCTGCGCGTGGCTTGTGTATTGAATCTGCATCGCGGGCCTGCTCATCGCAGAACCCTCGACGCAATTGCCTTGGAGTCCTCCTTGCAAATGTGCTAATAAATGTGTGCAATAAAATCAGATTCGGACACTGTCCGAGCCGCCCACCCAAAGATCGATCACCTGATCCCCTGCCTGTTATCCCAATTACCCAAAATGAAAAAAAACAGTGGAAAAAGATATGCCGACTGTGGAAAAAAGAGCCAACCTCCCAAGTTGCGGTAAAACAAAATAACGCCAAATGAAGCAACAAGCCGCCGAAGATAACCAAGTCCAAGTCCGAGTCCAACCAAGCTGACACGCAAAAGAGTACCAAACCCGATGCTTTCCGCAAGTTCCGACCGTTGAAATCTGGCTTCTCCAGCCCGAGAGTGTCTTCACCTTCGGCTGCCATCCATTGAATGAAGTGTGGAATGTAGTGACCCCCCTGTACATGATGTCGTCTCCGTTACATGCCTCGTCCGATAACTCCAACCTCAAGAATGCCGACCCAGATAGATGGTATGAAAGTACTGAGGGAAAAATAGCGAGAGAATACAGCACACGGGTATACCGGCGGAAAAGCAATACGAGCAGGGCATGTGCCCGAGAGTGAGCGAGAGATGATGGGTAGCGATGAGGTGGTTGAGCGTGGCCTCTTGTCCGGTGAGATGCTCAAGTGCACAAGAAGTCGAGGCCTTGGTTTCTCGCGACGGTCTGCCAATCCCAAACTGAGAGCCAGTCGCCAAAGTCCATGAGACGCCAGAGCTCCTCGAGCACGTCGAGAACACGGTCGCAGTTGCGAAGACCAGTGTAGCCACGGATCGATCGGACTACAGTTCGGACTCGCTCCTGCTGTGCTGGATCAAAGCAGGTCGCTCCGATGACGAGACAAGGCATCAGCAGCAGAGTCAAGGCAGGGTCGGAAGGCTTGAAGCCCTCCATAATTTTCAAAGACTCTTCAACAGCTGAAGTGATGCGGTTATCGTGCTGAGGGGGGCGACGGATGGGTGGGGGGGACGCAGGACGCTGCTCGTCGATGACGGCACAACTCGAAGAGCCGGCGTCAGACTCGTGCATGGAGCTCGTCCTAGAGGGACCTCGAGAGTTGGGATCACGCTTGAGATGCATGCTCAAAGGGAATCCTGCCGCAGTGGAAGGCCTGAGTCCAGGGGACGACGCACAGCTCGTCGCCGTCGATGGACGCGAGATCTGCGAGTGGCGGCGAGAAGAAGACGACGAGGTCGACGTGGCAATCGAAGTTGCCACGGAAAACACGGATGGTCTCCTCTCAGCTGACGTGGGAGGGTAAATGGTTCGGAACAGATGCAAAAACATCATGTGCTTGTAGACATGTCCCACGCGGTGCCTGCTGTCGCCCGGTGGCCACATGGGCATCCACTGCTCGATGGCCTCCTGAATCTCTTGTGCCCGGTACAAGATGTGGTAGTTCACAACCGTCTCAGATCCTCTGTAGACGCTCTCGCGAATGGCGTTCCTCAGTGTAGTGATGTGGCAAAGGTATTGGAAAAGGCCATCGGCGACACCCAAGAGCCGAGGGGACTCGATGGGAACCAAGGGACTCCAGTCTTCGGAAGCCAGACGAGGACCGTCCATAGCAGGATGCCACAGCAGCTCGTCAGCGTAGATATGATACTGGAAGAACTCCTGGATGAAGCTGAGAAAGACTGTGTCCTCCGGGGGCGTCTGCTGGATAAGCTCCTTGTACCCTCGGAGATGAACTCTGTGTTCACCATGAGGGTTGCCTTCAATCAGGGTGGTGACCAGAAGACATAGCATCTGGGCGAAACGAGCAGTGGATATGGTCTGCCCATCAGCGTTCTCCTCCTCGGAGCGACGGATGTCGGCATAGAATGATTCCATCGCCTTGTTGTGGTGATAGTCAGATCTTTCCTGGAGTGCCTCGCGGCTGGTCGTTGGGTTTTGCTGAAGCAATTTGGCACCATAGGGCGTGTCGAAGTCGATGTGCTTGCTGCTCATGGCAAGAACCGAATGCATCACACCTTGGTGGAGGTTTGCCAGCGGTAAAATAATGTCTTTGAAGGCGTTCTTTGCCTCGCCCTCCACAGTGAGAACATTGCTGAGGTGAACGCCGTAGTGTCTCCAGAAGATCTTGTCTTCAGTGGTGTCGACGCCGTTGAACAGGGGCTGCATAGTGAAAACGACCGAGTCTTCGATGCGATCTTTGAGGTTGTTAGTGTCGATAAAAGCCAGGGCAATCAGTGACACTCACCATCACAGGCCTTCTCCTTGCCGCTTCTCCAAAGCTTCTTCTCGTGGTAGCCCTCGCAGACGACGGCGTTCTTTTCGCAGTTCATGCCTGCCATGACGTTAGCTAGCCCTTCAACATATCGAACAGTTTACTCACATCTTGGCTTGGCTTCGTCACACTTCTTCTTTCTCCTTCGACAAGTAATGCACCCAGTCTTGGATCTTCCCTTGGTAACCTTGCTAGGGTTCACAACGGGCGCCAGCGGGTGCTTGCGAGGTCGACCTCTAGGTCGCTTCTGCTTCGGTTGGGTAGTTGTAGGTGAGATCAACGAGGACTCTGCCGTGTTGAGCGGTGCTTCCTTTACATCATCTAACTTGAAATCATCGTCAAGTGGTTCGAGTTTGGGTACAGTAAGTATGTCGTCCGAGCCCTGTTCCCACACGACATCGTTGTCAGCGTCGTCTCCGTCGAAGGCATCAGCGTGGGCGGTGCTCCAGGAATCAGTGCAAGACGAGGATGCGGAGTGTACCATTGTCGGGGCGCAAGAATGGTCCATCGCTGCGTTGTCCATGCCGGTGCTGATGGGAGACAGCTGACCAGTGTGCGAGTGAGTAGTGGTGGCGTTCATCCAAGCCGCAGCTTGGGAGGGAGGCGAGTGTGGGTAGAGTATGTTGTCGTTCATGTTGTCGTCTGAAGAATTGCTGTGGTTATCCGACCAAGAGATATCTCCTTCATCCGACACGACTGGCAAAACATTCGAATCCATGGCTCGTCAATAACGAGACCATGCCAACACAGAAAGGACCAAAATAAAGGTTGCGGTGCCAGTCGGCCGTGTATGTGGACAGACGAGGCGGTGGCGGGTAATCGGGAGCTGGGCAGTCCAGTCAGATATCAAGACCAGAAGGCCATAGGATATCCTCGGAGACGAGGTGGGTAGGCAGGTGGCAGAAGTGGCCTACCAAGTTGACAACGGATTCGAGGGGGCAGACCAACAGACGACAGGATATCGAGGTCGGCGAAGTTGTTGAAGATCAAGACCGTGGCGGACCGCTCAAGAAGAAGGGAAAGGCTGATCACTGAGGAGCCGTCGTGGAATGGAGGGGCTGAAGAGGGTGGAGAGATGATCGCTGGGTCTTATTTGGAAACCAGCTTGCCGTCGAGACAAGGTGGGAGAGAGAGGATGAGGGTCGTTGGACGACAGGACATGGGCCAGCCGCTTTCGAGGGGCGGGATATGCACATACATATCTGCAGATAGCTGCGCTGCTAGTGGGTGGGAAGTCTCGACAGCGACAGGGTCTGTCTGGAGGAGCGAGGACGACGTGCAGAGAATCGATGTTTCTCCCACACGCACTAAAGGTCCCCTAGCACCTTAGCTCCCCACATGCAAGGTGTGCACGACGGCGAGTTGGAGGGGAGTATTGTTTCCCATACGATACATAGTAGATGGACATGGGCGGATAAGAACGGTGTGGGATGTGAGGTGAGGTCTCACGTCGTACCGACTGTGCCAAGAGCAGCCCACCCCGTCTGCTCCTCCGCCCCCAGACCAGACAGGTGCTGCTGTGCCGTCGGTGCCGTGAGGTAGATGATGCTAATAAAAACTCCAGTACCAGCCTGGTAGCAGTTGTATATGGGACAAGAAACAGAGGGAGCGAAAGCAGAGCGGAATTGCTGTCAGCTTGGCTGTCGTCGATGGTGGATGGGCACTGTGGATTTTTGGGACCTTGGCGACATCTCCCCACTTGCGATGCAGTGGTGCGGTACGATGCGTTGCGGTGCCTCTTCTGATCTGTCGAGTGAGAGAGGGTCGAGTCGGGCGAGCGAGCAAGTGAGCGAAGGAGACACGATGGATGCCTCTGGTCATTGTCCTGTTTGCTCCTGCGACCAGCCCGCTCCTCTTCCTCAGGCCCCTCTCTGCCTCCGGTCGTCTCCAGTCCGTACCCTTGCCGTCCATCAGCCCTGGTCGTTGCTAGCGTCGACTGGCCTACCACCCCTGCCAGTGACAGTGAGGTACCGTCATGTACCCTAGGTCGCTACCCGCACGACACATCCCCACGATGTCCAGAGGCATTGTGATTCGCCGTCGTAGAATTTCTTCTGTTATTAACAAGGATCATCTTAGCCAGAAGATGGACTGTGCGCACCCCCCAATCCAAGTCATGCTCGAAAGAGCGTTGCAGCGCGGAGACTCCACCGAAAGTGGGAGAGGTCAAGGTGAGGAGGAGGGTGAGGGTACGAATAGCGTGCGGTGCAGTGCTTGGTTCAAGTTAGAAAGAGACATGGCATGTCGATGGGGCATGGATGCGATGCGTGCACGGCGAGATGAGCCCTGCTCAACCATGATGATGAGATGCAGACATGAGAGAGATGAGCCATGGTCGACCCTGAATCACGACTCATGGGTCATATGCGTAGGGAAAACAGATAGTATCCGCATCAAGGACCACAATGAGGCTGTCGCGCCATCGCCACAGGGATGGTTCGGCGCTGCGGCGTCTCTTGGGCCATTGAACGACGGACGACGTGACCAAAGACGGCGAAGCGAACAACGTTGACGGTGTAAGACAAGGAGGTTGCATCGTATCGTGTCGCGTCGTGTCGAGGAAGTGTGGGGGAAAGAGGAGATGGCGACTCCAGATGCAGAGGTAGCGAGCGGGACTCGGAGAAAGGGTCAAAGGTGAGGGTCAAGGACTTTGAAGTTGCCATGTCTTGATTTGTCTCGATTTGCTGAAAATCTCCAGCGTCGAGGATTCGGTTCGCGGAATCGCGGTGGTAGCGCGCTCCATTTCGGGCACAAAACGAGTCAATGTTGGCCGGTACTTGTTCGTGTGTGTCGGAGCAGTGGTGCTGAGCAGTGCGTAGCAGAGGCTGGCTGTACCATGATATCATGGTGGGTTCTAGCAGAGAGGGTCACGCTTCTGAGGCCTGTCTGGTGCATATGCAGGCGGCCTGATTCGGAAAGACGATTGACTCCTCTGAGCTCAGCTTCTCCGGAGTTTCTCGACTGCGGCAGGCGTGGTGCGTGTTGGGAGCGTGTGAGTCGCCCGAGCAGCAGCAAGCGGCGTAGGTACCAAGGCCAGTGTGCCTGATCTTGTGGGCGGAATCTTGTTCACGGAGGGTGGGATGGATCACGGCCGATGGTGCGGTGAAGGGCGGTGATGATGATGATGATGATGGTTGCCATGTTTGAGGTGACGGTGTGTGTGACGGACGGCACTGGCAAGCAGCGGTCGACCAGTCAGAGGGATAGGTGAAGGTTTAGGCGGTGCCGGAAGATCTGTCGTCTCGTCGTCGCCTCGTCCCAAATGCCGTGCCGTGGGAGTGCGGTGGATGTTGAATGGGCAGAAGGGATCGGCCGGTGGGTTCAATGCGTCTGTTCTTTTCTCGATCCATTCCGTCCGACCAACAGCCAACCACGGAGACGCCTGCGGTGTGCAGCCGCTAGGTTGGCTGCTACAACTGGGTAGGTCGGAGAATCTGTCGCAAGTGCCTCAGCTCTGCATGATTGGTATTGCCCTTGGGCAGAGACACATGGCCGGCTCGGTGGAGCGCGGTCAGGATGAGAGATCTGACAGACCTCATCCTGACAGACAGTAGGTATTGACTCCTTCAAGCAACCTGGAAGTTAAGGCAAGGCGAGGCAAGGCAGGCTGTTGCTGGCGATGCATTGATCTGCTCTTGCAAGAAGTTGGGAGAGCTTTCGTTGGTCGAGTCAAGGGCAGGATCCGCGTCATTGGAACCTGAAACCTCGATTTGTCGGCTTGAGTCTCCCTCTCTGTGCGTGTCTCTGTGTCTCTCTGGCAGGGTGGACGCAGGCGTAGGCGCAGAGTATTTTTGCGTTGTCATCGCGTCGTGTCGAGTTGTCACTGCAATGCGCCGCGCTGGGCTGGCTTGCATTGGCTGTTTCTGGGCTGGAGGAGCTGGGGCTGTCGACAGCCATCGGAAACTAGGCCAGGATGTCGAGGTCAGGAAATGTGCCAGGATCAACGGTCGGGGTCGTGGTCGTTGCGTTGGGGGTTCGTCGGGAATAGACTGGGGAATTGGGAGGGAGCATGGGCAAGACAAGACAAGACCGTAGACGCCGTGCCGTAGCGGCCGTCAGTGGCCGAGTCTCCGTCGGACAGAGTTCAATATGGAATAATCGAACGACAATGGCGAGCTTTGACCCCGTGATTAGAGTGCAGGCTGGAGTCAGTCTCTCGGTGTCGGTGGGAAGGCACTTTAATTAGAGCGAGGATCGACTCCGTAGCGTGCTGAGGTGAGTTAGTTTGGCGGTGGTGCGGGAGGGGACACTGAGGTGCAGAGCGGGCAACAAGTTGAACATGTACATTGGGGAGCGGTTTGCGGGCCCTTCGGACGCGATGCCGTGTCCTGTGTGGTCCAGGTGTGTGGTTGGTGACTCTTGTCTTCCATTGTATGCGGTATGCGGTATGCGGTATCCTGTATCCTGTATCCTGTAGGTATGCCGTATGCTGTGGCCGATTGCCTGGGTGCGCCGGCCGACGGGCGACCCTGATCCCACAATCTATTGACGCATTTGAAGCTAAGACGGCGGGGAGAGGAGCGAGACAGAGATGTACGAATAGAAGGGCAGAATGGTGCAGGAAGAAAGGGCTGCGCCGTAGCGATGCAGCTGCCAGGAGACAGGAATCCCTTGGGAATGGAGAGGAGAGGAGAGGACACTGGAGCTCCCGTTCCAGATGGGGACGGAGGCAAGACGGGGAGAGACGTGACTTGTCAATGGCGAGGTGACGATGCACGTTGTGTTGTTGCTGCTGCTGCACCAGAGAGAAACCCATGGAAGAAATTTTTTTCTTCATCTCTCGCCAAAGCAAAGCATCGGCTGGCGAGGCGAGGAAACTGCGGTGGTTCCAGCTTCCCGCATCGGCTCCTCCCCTTTCCATCGTCGGTGCTGCGTTCCGTTCTTGCCCTCCCGCCGCTCCAGTTGTTCTATGCGCCTTCTACTATTCTTCCATTCGCGAGGCAGGTCCCAGCCTCAGCTCACACTTGGATCGAGGTGAGGTGAGGTCGGGTCGGGTTGCGCCTTCCTGAGATGGCTTAGGCAGGCCGATGTCATAGGTAAAGTTCCGATACGTACTAGGGTACCTATCTCCATGACTTCCATGGGCTGGATCGATACCTGAGGTTCCTTCCCTCTGTAACCCGGATGGGAAAGTGCAGATGCGCCCATCGTCTTTTTGTTTCCTGTCAGCCTGGGCCGGTGCCAATGTTTGCTTCCTCTTCTCTCACTGCTTTCTGTTAGGCCCGAGTATAATTCATTGTTATCGGATGTTCCAATTGCCCCGAGTGCCTCCTGAAGTGTTTCCCATCCCAGTCCTTGCCCATTCCTTCTCCCGCAGCTTCCGTGGCGCATGCCTTTCGTGGTGAATGCCTCGGGCAAGGCACCTAGTAAGTAAGGCATTTACCTAGTAGGGCAGCACCTACCACGGAGATGCGCCCGTGCTTGCGACCGTTGCCAGCCCAGTACAGCACCCAGCAGGCAGTCTCCAACGTGGAACCGTGACCTCCCGTCTCGAGAGTCGATCGCAGAGATTTACATGCGTGCGTGCGTTCCCTTCCGCTGTCTTCCTTCCCGCCCTGCCACTGACAGCAGGGCAGCAGGGCAGCAGGGCAGCAGGACAGGGGCAGGCGTCCTCACCAAAGTCGACCTTGCCAA